ACCATCAACACCCCATACACATCACCATAACCACATACTACATCAACCTCAAACTCACCATTACCTACATCAACCATCAACACTCACCATTACCTACACAACATCAACACTCACCATACCTACATCACCATCAACACTCACCATTACCTACATCAACATCAACACTCACCATTACCTACATCAAACCATCAACACTCACCAATTACCTACATCAACCATCAACACTCACCATTACCTACATCAACCATCAACACTCACATTACCTACATCAACCATCAACACTCACCATTACCTACACAACCACAACACTCACCATTACCACATCACATCAACTCACAAACACTCACATAAAACATTACCACATCAACCATCACACTCACCATTACCTACATCACACAACATCACCATTACTAACACCATCAACACTCACCATACCACATCAACCATCAACACTCACCATTACTACTACACACAACCATCAACCTAACTCACCATTACCTACATCAACCATCAACACTCACCATTACCACATCAACCATCACACTCACCATTACCTACATCAACCATCAACACTCACCATTACCTACATCAAACCATCAACACTCTCACCATTACCAACATCAACCATCAACACTCACAAACATTACCTACATCAACCATCAACATCACCATTACCTACATCAACCATCAACATCACCATTACCTACATCAACCATCAACACTCACCATTACCTACATCAACCATCAACACTCACCATTACCTACACAACCATCAACACCTCACCATTACCTACATCAACCATCAACACTCACCATTACCTACATCAACCATCAACACTCACCATTACCTACATCAACCATCAACACTCACCATTACCTACATCAACCATCAACACTCACCATTACCTACATCAACCATCAACACTCACCATTACCTACATCAACCATCAACATCACCATTACCTACATCAACCATCAACACTCACCATTACCTACATCAACCATCAACACTCACCATTACCTACACCAACCATCAACACTCACCATTACCTACATCAACCATCAACACTCACCATTACCTACATCAACCATCAACACTCACCATTACCTACATCAACCATCAACACTCACCATTACCTACATCAACCATCAACATTCACCATTACCTACATCAACCATCAACACTCACCATTACCTACATCAACCATCAACACTCACCATTACCTACATCAACCATCAACACTCACCATTACCTACATCAACCATCAACACTCACCATTACCTACATCACATCAACACTCACATTACCTACATCAACTCAACATCACATTACCTACATCAACCATCAACACTCACCATTACCTACTCAACCATCAACACTCCCATTCCACATCAACCATCAACACTCACCATTACCTACATCAACCATCAACACTCACCATTACCTACATCAACCATCAACACTCACCATTACCTACATCAACCATCAACACTCACCATTACCTACATCAACCATCAACACTCACCATTACCTACATCAACCATCAACACTCACCATTACCTACATCAACCATCAACACTCACCATTACCTACATCAACCATCAACACTCACCATTACCTACATCAACCATCAACACTCACCATTACCTACATCAACCATCAACACTCACCATTACCTACATCAACCATCAACACTCACCATTACCTACATCAACCATCAACACTCACCATTACCTACATCAACCTTGTAAGTGGGATACCACACTTGATATTTTCAAGGTGACGGGAGGAGTCTGTCTCCACTTATCACACGGAAACAAAGTCTGGGAATGATCTATGTATCATTGTGTGGAGTGCACTCACGCATGCAAATAATCTCATGAATCTTGCCCAAGATGCATTACAGAAGCGTTGTAAAATTTGAAGCCGATCGAATAAGGTGTTCTCGAGAAATAAACGAAAATTTGTGAGGAGGTACAAAAATATGGAAGTTTTAACTCGTTAAATCTTCAAAAAGTCATAAAAACGGGAATTTTGATATTTTTTCCCAGTTTTCTTTTCCTATTTAATTCTATTTAAAATTATCTACAATCCCGTAAGAAAAAAATATTTGATTGTGAATTTTCAAAAAATCTAATTGGATAATTTTTTTCAGAAAAGGACAAACTGATAACTACATAGCCCAAAATTAACATAAAGTACCTCGACTTAAGTTATACCAGCAATTAGGGTTTGAAGCCGGTCAGAAGATGCATTCTCTAGTTATTACACGAGACATAATTTACTTAATACAACTGATAAATTAATATTTACACATCCCAAAGTGAGTAACAAATTGTATTTTAATGAAGGTAAAAGTTTGAAGGAAATCAGTAAAATTATTCTTCACTAATTGATCTGATTTCAACAATTCCATTTTTTAAATTTTAGTAAAATTTCAAAATTGGGCCTAATTCAACTAAATTATAATGGGTCATCATCGTTATAACAGAATACATCGTTAATAATATTTAGAAGCCAATGAGAAGGAGCATTCGTTAGTTGATTAAAAATTGAACATCACCATTTATGCAAAAAAATTGGCAAACTGAGACTTATGGCACCCAATGGTGTCATAAGGACCTGCCAAGTATGGGCCAGGAGGCCTGTTTCTGTGTTCCTCATTTTTTATGTTCTTAAGTCCCAATAAGAGCCAGTAGTAAAAATTTGAAGCCGATCACATGGATCATTCTCCAGTTATGGAACAGATTTCACTTATTCCAATTTTTTTTATACTATTTTACATCAAATTTACTTGCAGTCACACAAAACTTAATTAATAGGTACTATCCTGACCCTAAGTTGCATCAGCCATTATATACAGAAGCCGTTCAGATAAGGTTAACTAAAATTTGTTTAACGTGATTTATTGCGAATAAAAATTTCACATTTTACACATAAATGGTCAACTTTGCACCTACATGACTTTTACTCTCGACTCCCGTCGAATTAGGAGACGCCTTCTTTAAACTTTTGAAGCTACGCCTCAGAAGATTTTGGAAGTTATCGAAGCCAGTTCAGGGTGCTGGGAGGAGGTTCAAGAACCTTGGTTATAAGGCACGTGAATATACCAGTTGTTTCAAGAATTTGACCCTCTTTCCCATACACAAGCGTTGAAAATTTGAAGTCAATTGGATGAGCCATTCTCGAGTTATAGACGAAATATCATTGAAAAGCTGAAGAAAAAAGTTCAGGCACCCTCTTGAAGGTCTTCTCTTCGGGAATAACTAATTATACAAATAAACAGTGAATTGTCATTGATCAAAAGGTAAAGCTAACTTGGTCATAAACACGAGGCCTGATGGAGTTATCACGTCAGCCTTGAGACGCCTGCCAGCCACATTCATATACTGGGCCAGTTTTTCTTACTTAAATCTTTGTTTCATTACGGTATCAAAATTTCACTGTCCCGTTCCTTCTGATACGAAACATAATATTTTTCTTTCGTTCAGTAATGTCATTATCTTTAATAAATGGGGCGTTACCTACCAAGACAGTGTGGATAAAACAGAAAATACATTCACCATCACTGATTCCCTAGCTACACTTCAGGTTACAGTAAATATCACGATACAAACACGTCTTGGTATTTCAACATCCCCACTTATCTTTTCACATGTAGACACTGTGCTTTCCACCTCCAGGACTAAAGTCCAGTTTAACAGTTTCAATAAATCCCTTCGGTTCTCAGTTTCCAACATCATGGCAGATATAACATACATACACTTGATGTGACTGGTAGTGTGATTTACTGCCAATATTGAACCAATGAGCGTTTTCGTGTGTTCATGTACATATCGTCGACACCAGGAAAAAAGAGCTGCCTTCATCAACAATTCCTTGACACGTGTTTTTATCACAAGCTGACCCATTCATAAGTGCCGGCACTATGGTGGTGGCTCCCTCAAAATGAACACATGAAGGAACACATGAAGGTGGGTTAACAGATGGCTGGACAAGGACGAGATGCTCACAGAAGGAGCAAAATAAGCTTTAATTCTGACAACTTCTCGCAGTTTAGAAACGTATACATGAGCAAACATCAGAACATCTTTATAAGAGTTAGTTATGCCGCCTGAGCAGCTACTTTGTGCAGCTCGTGCTGGTACTGTGAGTGGTAGCTGACTATGCATATTTACATAACAAAAACACAATTATTTCATAAAGCTGATGTAAACAATACAATGCAAAAATGTGGATACAGTCTCAAGACTTAAGATATCATTACCAACGAGGTGGTTTGCAGTTAGGATTTCCCTAAAAGTGTGTCTGGAAGACTGGATGTTTGGACTCTGGGAGATATAATGTTCCAGTGAATGGCTGCCTCTTCGTTCACTCACGCTTTTTTTTAATATCACTGTTATCTCCATAAAATGTTTTGAACCTGGTACCTTGACGTGATCAAGGTACCAGTGTTTGTTCATCTCTTTTTAAACTACTTGTAGGTATCCATTACTAAGACTAATATAACAACGTTTCACTTTCTGTAGAGCTTTATTATATCTAATAAAGCTGCTGGCTCTATGGAAGGTAACTGTAGTAACGACTGTCAGGTTACCATTGTTGGACTCAGTGTAAAGTGCAAAGTACACACACACACACACCACACACACACACACACACACACACACACACACACACACACACACACACACACACACACACACACACACACACACACACGCACAACAATATATATATATATATATATATATATATATATATATATATATATATATATATATATATATATATATATATATATATTTGTTCTTATAGTAAGAACAAATATTCGTAGGATATCAATAAACAGATTAAAAGAAATCATTCGTATGTTGTTTCACCCCGAAAGGGTTTAGCCCTTCATGAATATAATAATACCAATCTTTCTAAATGTTACTATGTATGATAATTGTACTTATATGTACCTGTGCCTAAATTAACTTACATCCTCCGTCAGGAATTGCTGGGCTGGTGGCGCTGGGCAGCTGTTTCATGGCGACGTCCAACACACCTCGTCAGTTGAGTGACCAGAGCACCTCCAGCCAGTCTGTGTTTACCGTGAGTGGGGGCCCTCAACAACGACTCCATCAGCAAGTGGCCCCCAGGCCCTCAGCCCCGGAGTCAGACCCCCGCCAGGAAGCTTATACCCATACTACCAGCCCCATCAACACCAAGATGCCCCTGCCTCAGAGCAACGGATACCCGCTCAACCCCAGCTATCCCATTAACCCGCACTACCCGCCCGACCCGCCACCCAGCTACACGGCAACCGGCTATCCTGCCGGCGGGGCACGGAGGGTGGGCAGGGCGGTGCCTCACACTGCTCTGCGGGTGGTATCCTGCCCACCCACACTCAGTACCATAGACGACCTGCCGCCTCCATACTCCCCTACACCCAACCCTCCCAGGCGGTAGTGACGATCTATCCACTCATCCATCCCATCGTCAACTCATCTAATCGTCATCCACATCATCATAATCCTGTAGTCATTTGTATTTACTGTAAATAAGGGACATATCTATGCTGTTGGGGCAGAGCCGTGGGCAGAATTAGCTAGGCTGTGAGCAAAGTGCACTTTGCTGTGCTAGCGTGCACTCTCTGTGTAAACTTTGCTCTTTATATGAGCAGTCTCTCCTCTGCTGTGTGCAATCTGCTCTGCTGTGTTGAGAATGTGCTATGCTGAGAGCAGAGTGCACACAGTGTGCAGTAGACTTGCTATGCTGAGAGCAGAGTGCACACAGTGTGCAGTAGACTTGCTATGCTGAGAGCAGAGTGCACACAGTGTGCAGTAGACTCACAGTGTGCACTGTGTAAAGTGCACTGTGATATGTACACTATATTACGTGCATTACACTGAGGGTGAATTATGATGTGTGCGTCCAGTGGTAGTTTGCTGTGTACAGTGAGTGTTCTGAGCACACACTTGGTAGTTGTGTGCGTGGCAACAATGGACAGCTGGCAGCTGTGTGCGTAGCATCAGTGGACAGCTGGCAGCTGTGTGCGTAGCATCAGTGGACAGCTGGCAGCTGTGTGCGGGTGGCAGCATGGACAGCTGGCAGCTGTGCGGGTGGCAGCAGTGGAGAGCCGGCAGCTGTGCGGGTGGCAGCAGTGGAGAGCTGGCAGCTGTGCGGGTGGCAGCAGTGGACAGCTGTCAGCTGTGCGGGTAGCAGCAGTGGAGAGCTGGCAGCTGTGCGGGTGGCAGCAGTGGACAGCTGGCAGCTGTGCGGGTGGCAGCAGTGACATTCCTGTATGGTGCTCTAGTTATCCTTGGTAGTATTAGTCTTCCTTAGATTATAAGGCTTATCTTCCTCTCATAAAATAACATACAGCCTTTAACAATATGGATCGCACTGGCTCTCTGCTTCCCATATGTACAAAGATGATAAAAAGACACTAAAAGCGAAGAAGCATTTAGGACGAAGAAGAAACTTCAGTATGTCTGGAAGAAACTGATAAATGGGACGCACGTCTCCACAAGAAGCAGTTAATATATCCTAGAGTGCAAACAATCACAAACAGGCGATTCCAGCAATGCAGAACAAGCCACATGGGGATGGAAATCTCGAGCCTTAGCTCCTTCGCACTCTCGTGCGTCGCAAGGAGTTATGTAATGTTGCAAGACAGCAACAGATAGGAGGGGAAATGCTCTAAGGGCTGCCACTGGTACCTGTTTTGCCTCAGAGAATTTCCCCTCCTATCTGTTGCTGTCTTGCAATAATGCATAGCTTCTGGCGACGCACGAGAGTGCGAAGGATCTGGGGTTAGAGATTGCCATCCCCGTGTAGCTTGTTCCGCTTATCCTAGAGAATATTACCATTAGTATAATGAAAATAAACAAATCTTTTAAACAAACATCCTTTTTACAATGTTATCGATTAAGCTGGATGGTGCCACGGTGTTGGTCTGGATGGTGCCACGGTGCTGGTCTGGATGGTGCCACGGTGCTGGTCTGGATGGTGCCACGGTGCTTGTCTGGATGGTGCCACGGTGCTTGTCTGGATGGTGCTGCGGTGCTGCTGGTCTGGATGGTGCTGCTGGTCTGGATGGTGCTGCGGGTGTGCCGGGTTTTGGATGGTGCCTTGCGGTTGTCTGGGGCTGGATGGTGTGGGTGCTGCTGGTCTGGATGGTGCTGCGGTGCTGCTGGTCTGGATGGTGCTGCGTGCTGCTGGTCTGGATGGTGCTGCGGTGCTGCTGGTCTGGATGGTGCTGCTGGTCGGATGTGCTGCGGTGCTGCGGTCTGGATGGTGGGTGGGGGTTGCTGTCTGGATGGTGCTGCGGTGCTGCTGGGCTGGATGGTGCTGCGGTGCTGCTGGTCGGATGGTGCTGCGGGGCTGCTGGTCTGGATGGGGCTGCGTTTCTGGCTTTGGGGGCCCGGCTGGTGCTGCGGTGCGCTGGGCTGGATGTGCTGCGTGCTCTGGTCTGGATGGTGCTGCGGGGCTGCTGGTCTGGATGGTGCGCGGTGCTGCGGTCTGGTTTGGGGCTGCGGTGCTGCTGGTCTGGATGGTGGGTGGGGTGCTGCTGGTCTGGATGGGGGCTGCGGTGTTGCTGGTCTGGATGGTGCTGCAGTGCTGCTGGTCTGGATGGTGCTGCAGTGCTGCTGGTCTGGATGGTGCTGCGGTGCTGCTGGTCTGGATGGTGCTGCGGTGCTGCTGGTCTGGATGGTGCTGCGGTGCTGCTGGTCTGGATGGTGCTGCGGTGTTGCTGGTCTGGATGGTGCTGCAGTGCTGCTGGTCTGGATGGTGCTGCAGTGCTGCTGGTCTGGATGGTGCTGCGGTGCTGCTGGTCTGGATGGTGCTGCGGTGCTGCTGGTCTGGATGGTGCTGCGGTGCTGGTCTGGATGGTGCTGCGGTGCTCCTCTAAAACGAGTGCGATGCCTGGGAAATACAGGAGAGTAATTATGCACTTTTGATCGACTTCGAAGTTTTCCTACCCTTGCTGTCAGGCTTTTGGCTAAGCTTCCTTGTTGAGTACCTGTTAAACCAGGCTGTTATTGTTAGTGGCCTCCTGGGCCACGTAATCATCACAGCCTAAGTGTGCTCGACAGAGGTAGTTATCCACCTTCCTCTCGAAGATTTTTTTTTTTACATGTATCCCTGCAATATTTCTGATATCTGCTGGAAGCAAATTGAAGAGTTTTGGACTACGGATGTTGACACAGTATTCTCTTGTACTCCTGCTTTTTTATTGAATTTATTTACACCTTTTTTGTCATATTTTTCAGTGTTACTGTAGTATGTATAGATTTTCAACCTGAACCCCCAGTATCATCCAGGTGAATGTTATCAAGTATCTCTCCCTGCTTTGTTCCAGGGAGTACATTCCAATCACACTGAAGCATTCTTCTTGGTTTAAATGCTTTACTGACTCGATGCGGTCAGTAAATGATCTCAGTATATTTTCCAGCTTTGATACCACTCTTGTCTTGAAAGGAGCTGTGAGAACAGAGCAATATTCTAGATATAAGCGCACAATTAATATGAATAGTACCATCATTAGTATTACTTCTCTTGTTGTGAGAGCTCTCTTTATCCACCCTGTTATTTTTCTAGCCTTTGCTGCTGTTGCTTTGTGTTCTCTACAAGACATCACGGCATTATTCTCAGGTCTATTACCCGTTTCTTATTATCTTGGAGATAGTCTTCCTGCATTCTATATTCTCAGCTCATTTGGAGTTTTTCCCAAATCTATGCAATTGAAATTTGTCCACAGTGAACTTTATGCAATTTTCATTTGACCGCTGGAAAACTCTCTTCATATCTAATCGTATTTTCCTGCATCTTCTACTGAAGCGAATTTCATACTTGATGTTCGAAAAGGGTGATACCAAGCTGTGAATACAACTTTTATCTTTGTTATGAGGATTAGTAACAGTAAAGATGCAGTGCAGTGTGGTGCTGAACTTTTTACTTTGCTAATCGCTGACTTTATTTACTGTTACTCTTTTGTGATAGAAATTGGAATAAACATTTCTGAAATTTCCTGTTGCTCATGTTGACCCCATTTACGGGCTGTCACTGGATGGTCACACTTGTCAATAGTTTAAATCCATGTTGACTTGAGTTGTCTAGGTCATGCTTTTCCATAAAAATAGTAAACGTCTCCACCCTTTCAAAGGCTTTTATGGTGTGTGATGTTAACGCACACTTTTCAGTCACCGGAGCTCTCTGGTACGTGCTTGCTGTGTTCCCTGGTACGTGCTGTGTTCCCTGGTACGTGCTTGCTGTGTTCCCTGGTACGTGCTGTGTTCCCTGGTACATGCTGTGTTCCCTGGTACGTGCTTGCTGTGTTCCCTGGTACGTGCTGTGTTCCCTGGTACATGCTTGCTGTGTTCCCTGGTACGTGCTTGCTGTGTTCCCTGGTACGTGCTTGCTGTGTTCCCTGGTACGTGCTGTGTTCCCTGGTACATGCTTGCTGTGTTCCCTGGTACGTGCTTGCTGTGTTCCCTGGTACGTGCTGTGTTCCCTGGTACGTGCTGTGTTCCCTGGTACATGCTTGCTGTGTTCCCTGGTACGTGCTGTGTTCCCTGGTACGTGCTGTGTTCCCTGGTACGCGCTTGCTGTGTTCAAGTATTTCTCCTTACTATTTGTGATACAGTACTCTTGTCTGTCATCTTCCATTTTACATTTGGGAGTTTGAAATCTACACGAGAATAATGTTTGGTGCAGGATTCTCCAGCTTTTCGAAAGAACTGTTTTTCGTATCTCTTCACTGAATTCCTTAACCGTTCCCGATGGTGGTTTTCATACGAGGATAATTTTGGTCTCGATTTTTATTCTCAATATTTCTAAATTATCTCTTTTTTTTTTTTACAGTTTTGCGCAACTGAGACTTTCCTAAGATTATTATTATGGGGAGCGCTACACCCTTAGGGATTATAGAGCACCTTTAGGGGGGATAGAAGACATTTAGGCTTATTTCAGGGAATTCGAGCACAGATCTAATTCCCTAGTTCAAGAGCCCCTCACCAGCATCAAGGAACGTCCCTGAGACCTACTCTTCCCTGCAACTTACTCTAAATCACATCTATACAAATTATATTTGAGAATATAAACTTCGCTCCATAATCAATCTTTAAGTGCTCTAAACACTACATTTCTTTCTGTGAGGCCATTTATGAAAGGAACTTTATTCTTTCATTACAGTTTTTGTCTTGAATACTGGCAAAAAAGGGAAGATATACTTGTGATGTTTTGAACTTGTGAACTGGTGAACTGGTTGGCTGTTTAGTACTGGTGGTGAGACCAGTTCAGCTCCCACTCGTGTTGGGGTGATTGTTTCAGGTACTCTTGATCGTCTAGTTATATTGTTAGCGCTGTATAACCCTTACGGATTTAGCGCTTACCTCGATTATAATAATAATATCTATTCTCTTATTTGCTGGTTGGTGAATTTAGTAGTTTTGCTCCATCCAGTGTTTGGTGACAGCTGTAATATTTTAGGACGTAGCAATATTTTCCAGTTTCTATAACTTGTGTCCCACCAGCTGTGTCTATTTTTCTCTCACTATTCCAAGCCTGTGGTTGTTCTCTCCTTTGTCTTTGTTTATTTTTACGCCTAAACAATGTACTCTTCTGTACCTTCTAGGTCCTCGTGCGTGAACAAATGGACAGTGTAGCCACGTCATAAAATATTCTCTCCGCAAATTTGTTATGTATTTCAGGGTGGCAGAAATGACATCTTTCTTCGACATAGCAACTTTCTCTTTATTAGGATATTGAGCCATTCCTTTAGGTGTTGTTAATTACTTTTTTTTTGTTTTGCATATTTCCCTTAGAATTATTTTTTAAATTTTATTTATCTGTGTTGATGCCATCTGAGGTGTCTTCCCTCTCCTCCTTGTTTATACATTACTGTGAGTCGTGATACCTCATCTACAGAGGTTCTTGTTTCATTTTTCCTAACTTTCGATAGTTTATCTTAATCTTCGTGCATTTCCTCTGGTTCTGGTATTTCATTTACTAGCGCTAGTCTCTTCTTTCGTCTTCTATTTCTACTTCCCCATTTTTTTTAATCTTATCTGTCCTTACTTTTATGCTGACTTTCCGTTTCATTATCTTTACAGTTTACACTTGTGTGTGTGGATTCTTTGTTCTTGTCCCACACTACAGAGGTCATTGGTAAGTATCTGAGAGAGAGTCGCACCTTTGTCCTTATTTATCTGGCTTACATACCCGGTGTAAATCTCCATCCCTGAGCTCATTGCTGTTACTCAACTCACCTCAAGCTGCCTGGAAACTCTACCTGCATATATCACACTTTATGTCTTTAGTTGTCAACGAAAAAGACAATTGCCGCAAACACAGCAATTTTGTACCATGGAAATATTTTTTAAGTGTTTTTTTTTCTAAGGGGAAATTCTTCTATGGCCTACAATCGTTAATTTTGTCTATCTTCCATTACTCAAAATAATCATCCATGCGTACTGTGATTATCATATGCTCATTAATCGTGATTAACACAATACTTTTTTTTTACTAATTACTTTGCTTCTGTCATTGAATAATACAGATACTTGTAATTAAAGTAATTTGACTTAACATGAATATTCTAGGCATCTCATCCAGTGAGTGATGATCTGGAGGGCGGGGGGGGGGGGAGGACAAGTGGCTTTTTGTGACCTCTGATCACCCCTGGCACCCTCGTGTCCGGCCTGAATGTCAGTGATATAATGTCCGAGTGTCAATTCAGACTTCAGCAAACATGTTTGTAAACAAATATACCAGGTGTTTTTGCTTACACTGTTTGGCCTTATATCCAGTGCTATCAAAATAAAATGACTAGGTAATATTGGTAATTAATGTTTGACTGGCTACCCCGTGGCCAGCACGTTGAAACGGATGTTTGTGTTTATACTATTTTGCCTTGTTTACACTAATATTCTTATGCTCACTATAATTTTTCGATGCAACTTTTGTCATTCTTTATATATTCACTAATGTTATTCAGCACTCTAACGCATTAATGTCCGGAGAAGCTTAAGTGACTGCACGGATGGCGCATAACGCTGTGGTAGGAGACACCACTACCTACCAGCACCAACCTCTTGCTTTGAACAATCTCCTTAAAGCTGAGAGAATGAGCCGTATTATGTCCTGTTCTACAGGTCAGAGCTGATCTTCGGGTCTAGCTCTACCTGCAGCAGCAACACACAGCAGAGTCCACAGACTCAGATGCATCCCGGTGGGGGGAGGTTAAGACGTTAATTTCATTGTAAAATCATCGTGTTTTTGTCACAGTTTTGATGATAAACAGTGAATTAAAACTGCTCAGTTTTCATACTCCCGTCAGGAAAACAGTCCTCTTTGCTACCAATTATATTTTTGTTAGTAGTTTTATAAATATATATTTTTTTCTTATTAGTATAAGGACAGAGTTACGTATAAATAAATGAATGTATCATACCTACTATATATATATATATATTATATATATATATATATATATATATATATATTATATTTATTATATATATATCGTGCCGAATAGGCAGAACTTGCGATCTTGGCTTAAATAGCAACGCTCATCTTGCCATATAAGACAAGCGAAAATTTGTGTATGCAATAATTTCTCCAAAATCATTCTGAACCTAACGAAAAAAATATATTTCACTGTGTTTGTTTAGTATTAAATTACTGTAAACAAATCTAAAATATATTTAGTTGGGTTAGGCTAAAATAAATTGTTCTTGTTATAATAAGGTTAGGTAAGTTTTCTAAGATTCTTTTGGAGCAAAATTAAAAATTTTAACATTAACATTAATGAAAAAAAATATATCTTTAAACGTACAAGAGAAAATTTTAGAAAGGACTTAATTTTAAACGAGTTCTTGCTAATTGACCAGTTTTACCTATTCGGCACGACATATATATACGAGTACTGATTTTTTCCAATTAAACATTTACAATGGAAAACCCAAAGTGTGTAGCTGTATCTGTAGCATCCTTTATTAAAACCATTCAACAAGAGAGAGAAAGATACCAGAGACGTAGTGTGTCAGCCTCTTAGATGGAACTACAGTAAATCTGCCATAAGGATTTTACGCTTTTTGTGAATGTAATGTGGAAAATTATATGTTTTCCAAATTTTATTTAACACTTAACAGGAATTGTTAGGTAATAATATGAGAGTTGTGGAGGGAGAAGGAAGTCTACCTACTTGGGGTCAACCTACCTAGAGTCTACCTACCTGGAGTTTACTTACCTGGAATCTACATACCTGGGGTCTACCTACCCGGAGTCTACATACCTGAGGTCTACCTACCTGGAGTCTACATACCTGGGGTCAACCTACCTGGGGTCAACCTCTCTGGAGTCTACCTGGAGGGTGTTCCAGGGGTTAACGCCCCCGCGGCACAGTTCTTAACCCAAGTGACGAGGAAAGTATATTTCCCAGATCTTCGTTACTAATCAATGTTTGTTTACGTTGTTAGGCAGCTGAGACTCTTTACATCTGTCAATATTCATAATAACATTGTTATAATTGCATAGACCCTTGTGGGTTTAGCGCTTAGTTATAACTAGATATTATAGCTTTATTTCTTTCATATTTCATTACATATAGCTGATTATAATCCTCGGAGCCATCATAATTGTCTTTGGTTTGTGTAAAATCAATTAAATATTACTCAAAATGTGATTGGACCATAAATAGATGTCAGACTCCTCTCCAGAGTCGAGCCAATCAGAGGAAGACTCTGACGTCATAATAATCAAACAAGATTAAAATACTCATTGAAGCCTTGAAATTTATATGGAATGCAATAAGTAATGAATGAATTGCTTGTCTGTTGATATAGCATCAACCCCAAACTGAATGATTTAAATTAAAATTGATTTAAATCAAGTCTACTGTCAGCGCGGGTGGGATGAGGGAGACATTTTTAGTATTCAATGCAAGTGACTGTGTTAAGAGGTCCCTGGAAACTGTACGAGGCGCAGGTGGTGTTTACTTTATTGTATGACGACACTCTACTAATTA